ATATATATATATATATATATATATATATATATATATATATATATATATAACGGTGACTTCGTCGTGAATAGAGTAAATAAAGCGTGAACTGAAAAGCTAGGAAGCACTAGGCAGCTGTATAAGACCTTGCTGAGTCTCATCAGCAGTGTGAATCCATCTACCCAACTGGGGATCGAGGCCGGGACTTCACAGATAGAACGCAAGTATGATATCCACTCGGCCACCGGATAGCTGATCAGACCGTCTTTCATTTTACCTTTACGCGATATAGCAAATCCCATCCTTGTGAGCCTATTGTTGTTCTTCTTTTGAGATCCCGGGTTCGATCCCCAATTAGGTAGGTTTATTTGCCCTACCGATGAGATCCAAACAGGTTGAAACTGCTATCCAGTGCTTTCTAGCTTTTCCGTTCACTCCTTGCCTGATCTATCCACGATAACTTTCACTGTACGATTGCTTCAGGAATCATCCGGGACACTCAGGTTATATATACAATTCATTGTATGAACTTGCCTATTTGAGAAAGCCGTCATTTAAAATTTTAGACGAATTTCGGTTATCGTGTACTACGTTGAGTTACTTCGGTTTCATCTGCTGACTGGTTTCACTTTAGCGCACAACAAGTCGGTTCACCTTTTGGAAATTCGGCAAGTGATAAACCGGTTGACCCTTCGTCTGTAGAAGACGTAGTATTTCTTAAAACGCAAAACAACTTATCAATTGTGTACGTTCACACTGATTTCTAACTGGTCAACGGCCTGGTTCATTAGTTACTCCCGTGTACCACAGAGCTGAGGCAGTGGACAAAATTTTAAGGCCACCAAGATATTTGTTCGAATCTCAACACCACTGCTTAGCTTTCCTTGTTTTCTCTGCTGTGTTACAGGCGTTCAGCTTGTCACTTTTCCCTTCCTGAAAATGTTTCAGCTTACTATGGATAAATTTAATAAGAAGAAGTTCAACGAAAAGCAAACTAAAATAAAAGAATGTGAGTAAAGTTAGCATAGTTTCACTTGCTCCAATTGTTTTCTCTCTATGACTGCATCCAAACCTGATGAATGATCTCGACGGAGGAGTGAACACTCTTGGTGCTCAACGTGAGATGTGTGCCCATCTCCGATTCCAATTGGAAGCAACTAGCAGAATCAGACACTCATGACTAAGTCTATCCAGATCTGGGAGTCGGTTGCGTCCACGCGAATTCTTGCGTAACTGCTGTTTAGAAAGAGATTTTGTTCTGTCGGTCTTTTTGTCAAAAGCTCTCACTGATGCGATTAAACTAACGGAAACAGCACCGTCACAGACAGGATGGACGATTCAGCTGATGGGTTGGTAGGGTTGTTAGATACGACCGATGTGGTCTTTTTTCCTTCTAACCTGCCTTTGTGAACTGTTTAATGAGTTTGATCTGTTCAAAAGTTAAGAAAACTGTGAATAGGACTACTATAGATGCTTTCACTTTGATCAAATATTTCGCCTAGATTTTGTAAGATGTCTAAAGTTATTATTTTACTAAATAACAGATTGTTAACTTCATCATGCTTACAGAAAAATTTCATCGTGGGGTTTTGTTGCAGTATGTACCGCGCGAAGCAGAGTTGTAAGCTGCCCCTTATGTTGAACAATTCGCTTTAACGCTCATGTAGACCACAATCAAACGCAATATCGTAAGTGGCTAACGTTTCCAATGAAACAGAAGAGCTTTCAACATTATCTGTCGGTTAGATGGGATATAGCCAGTTTCTATTTAGGGAAACAAGGTTAACTTCAGAAGCGAACTTCACATAAGGAACAAAAATATCTTCCAAGGCGATTTCGGGGCCCATTTCATCTCCGGTTCTACTTACCTTTGGTATCAGTTTATTTCATCGTATTACTAGACAGTGAGTTGTGTTGTTCGTTTGAAAGCGGTTAATAGTTGAAAATCAAGAATTTATCTAATTCCTTTTTTCCCGACACACCTTCCATCCCACACGTACAAACTACAATGCACGTCCGACCCAGGGGGTTGTGAAAGCCTATTACGTCCGTTTTCTGCTACGCTTGATTCCACGAGAACGCGTTGGGTTCGATTTGTCTCGCAAGAAAGATCAACAGCTGTTTAAGGAAATGTGCTACGAAGTGGAAATGTTACGAGGTGGACGAGACAAAGAAGTCAGCTTTCATGATGTGCTCATGTAAGTCGAAACGATAAAAACGTCGTGTTTATCCATGTCACGATATGCTGTAACTTTTCCAGTGACAACTCCGTATCCGTCCATAGGTTTAGGTACATCCAAGTTTACGTAACTTTCATCTCTCACTTCCGTATCCAAGTAATCATTGATGTACTCCCTCCATTTGGGGATAAATTTATAGAATAATCAGAGCGGTAAAATGAATGCATTGATTATTCGTCCATTCATAATTCTACTGCTACCGTCCACACATTTTGTATCAATGTCAAATCTACATACTCCGATTTCTCTTCCGTTCTGCTTGGTTTAAGTAAATAATGAAATCTATCCCACTTTGCTTGTGCAATATTTTTTCCCGTTTTCTCCGTGATACAAGTGGTGCACAAAGTTTCTTTCATCCCACACACGCGCACATGAACACAGATACACGCCCCACCAGAAACAGTGTGCAAAGTCGTTCGGCTTTGTCAATTTGAATTCGATTGAAATGTCACAATACCGTTTTGTGGGAACTCCTAGATGACTTTATCGTTTTCACTGCTAGCACAGAGTTGGCAAAAAGAAACGGGCAGTTCCGGATTTCAGAGACCTATTTGGTCAACAGGACTTAGCCGCGGCTTCTCCTCGCAAATCGTTTGAGGTTATAATCTACACGAGCTGTTATGAGCATATGGCGCATTGCACCCCTAAAAGAAGGAGAGTGGGCTGAGGGTAATGTAGGCTACAGTCGCATGGGTATGCAATCCTCATTGGTCACACAGACATAAGGGACGAAATAATCCTGACTCACGGACAAGAACTGTTATATTTTCATCTATTGGTCCTTTTTCTCTGTAAACTGCAACGTCGATCCTCAGCAGGCGGTAAATTTGAACACTATACACAGTTTATGTGCAGTGTGCAAAATGTTTCGACCGATACCGCGGAAAAGCAAGTTTGGCAGAGAACTGGTGATAAACTATCAATAACTTTTGCGGTTTTTCACTCAATCCACTCTTCTTTCTGGTCCCACCCCGAATCGCTTAGTTCGTTCGTTGACCTGAGTATGTTCTACCTCTCCACCTCACTCACATCCCCACCCTGGGGATGAGCTTAGTCACCCCTCTGACTCCGTTCACGGCGGTGATTATGATGATGAGTAGGGAACGGGATGATTGGGAATCTGTTGTACCGGTGGGAGGTGACGTGTGTTAGTCGGTTGTGACCGCCCAGCTTGTGGCAGCTGTTGGTTGCCGTAGTCCGCATATTTCTTCCACTCGTGCACGCACATCATGTTCGGGGTTTTTGGTACATACGTAAGCTCGTTCACCCTCTGCAGCCCTATAGTTCGTTTGCATTTGTCATCATTTGCCAGTGTGTGTGCGTGTGCGTGTGTGTGTGTGTGTGTGCGTGTAAATTCTACATCTAGGTGACAAGCCACACTGCGCGTGCGGTTGACAGCTCAGATGTCTACAAACAGAGAGATGAGCGGGTTGTGAGAGAGAGTTCAGTGAGTCTCTCGCTCAGCNGCTCAGCGTGAACGTTGATGAACACTTGGAACAAGGTGGGAACAAGTGGTCTGTTGTAGTCAGGTATTTTCAACTCATTCACTTTAGGTGTTCGTTGAAATAAGCCTCATATCTGTTATTTTTGAAGGAATATTAATACCTGTGATCTGTGTGGCTGCGCTGGTTTATTCGTTACGATTGAACAGGTGCTAGCTTGCGTTTTCACTTACTGCTACTTTCCACGGGTTCCAATGTTTCGTCTATTATTCATTATTTCACCAAAAGCACAAAACATGAACGTGAAGAACTCTACTTGTGTCTATAATGATTGGTCACAACCGTTTTGGTGATTAGCGATGATACAACTCAGACTGAAGTGCTGTAACCGTAAATTTCTTTTGATACCCGACGGGTATGAAGTGCAGCATGTGGACGAGCAGTAGAAGCATAGTGGCTGGTGTACAATGGGGCTGGTTGTCTATTCTGTGCTTGAACATAGAAAGAGGGCGGGGGGGGGAGTAGAAATGCTTCACAATTCTGGGCGTCCTTGACACGCCACTGTTCGACCGGCTTTCAAAGTCCCTAAGTATTATTGGTTTTAGAGTTGCGGCCGGTTGTGTCCTTGCAGACTCATAAAAGTGAAGGAGGGACCGGATCGAGAAACTGTAGAAATAAAATCCATCGGAAAACAAGGGGTATGCACGCCTATCAGACTGATAGACTAGTGCTTGAAGACGGACGGAAGGAAAACGAGATGAAAAGCTTGATACAGAAAAGTGCCAAAGAAACCAAGGAGACGCAGCACCCGTAAATGGCTACAATAAGCTAATGCAGGCGAACTTTGGGCCTTTTGAAAAGTTCAAAATGTAGTAAGGTGATGAATCCTACTTCGCATGGAAATGATGAGAACTCTGTTCCCGCAGGTAAGCGAAGCAAACGAGATGTATAGAAACCAATAGAGATAAGAGAGAAACTAAATTTCTGATAGGCCTGCGGAAGATGTGGGACTAGGTGAATAGAAGTAAAATACCGGTTTAAGAGAAGGATAGTGGTTGTGCTTGCAGGATATGCATTAGGTCTTTCGTGATATCGAAGGTGTGGCGATGACGCTCAGAAGCATGAAAACGGTCTATTGTGAGCGCGGTGATGGGGGGGGGGGGGCTATTCACGAGACGTGGTATAGTCAAGAAAAACAATGTAGAGTAGTGCCAGTCGCAAAATTATGGGTCATATTGAGAGCTTGAGGGAAATATCATCAATGAAGAGTGGGGAAGAGGGTAAAAGAAGACATGGAATCTTTCTGAGAATCAGATTTTTATGGGACTGCTTTCAACATAGACACAGCAAAACGCATTGCAGAAGATTCGTATCGACGCAAAAGAGCACGAGGAGAGTTTAAAGTGGGGGAACTTTCACGTTCCTTATGACGTGCCCGGTCGAACTCCTTGGAGATATCAAGGAGAATCAGTGCGCTACTTAATCTGTTTTCTTCCTGAGGATATTCAGTAACTTGTCGCTTCGGACTCTCAGTATTGGGAAATCGAATAAAATATTAAATCTATCGTCAAGCTAACTAAAGACATACGATCCACTTAATATTATATTTCGACATTTATGACAAAGTGAATCCATTTCTTACTGGCTTTTATCCCGTTGTCCAAAGAAGAGTTGTTTTTTATTTGTAGAATTTACCAAATATTTTCCAAATAACAAATAAAAATAAGTTGCAGAGTCTGTGTGAACCTTTTTAAGGTCGTCCAAAAGGTGCACATTGTTTATGCGAACTGGAATAATCAAGGACAAGGTTTATTGGCAAAACTCCGATAACCAAAAAATGTTTGGGCTTTTAGGAATTGGCATTCAAACGGTTTCCTATTGAATTCTAATTTCCCGTCATTCTCTTCAGGGTCCTGGCTTATCGTACGGTGGATATCACTAAAACCCTACAACTTGAGGAACTGATTGCTCGAGAGGAATTAGAATACGCAATCGAGGAGGAAGTGGCTCGTCAGACAATAGCCGCCTGGATTGAAAGATGC